AGTCCAGGGGTCCCAATCCCAGTCTAGGGATCCCAGTCTCAGTCTATGGGTTCCAATCGCAGTACCCCATATCCCATTCCCATTATCCCATACCCATTCCCATTATCCCATATCCCATTCCCAGTACCCCATACCCATTCCCAGTACCCCATACCCCATTCCCATTACCCCATATCCCATTACCTGTAGGATTTCCCGGGTTGATGATGCACAGTGCCCGAGGACAGCAGTGCTGCTGGCCTGGATCCCATTCCCATCATCCCATACCCATTATCCCATTATCCCATTCCCATCATCCCATACCCATTATCCCATTATCCCATACCCATTATCCCATACCCATTATCCCATATCCCATTATCCCATTCCCATTATCCCATTACCTGTAGGATTTCCCGGGTTGATGATGCACAGTGCCCGTGGACAGCAGTGCTGCTGGCCTGGATCCCATTCCCATTATCCCATATCCCATTCCCATTATCCCATTACCTGTAGGATTTCCCGGGTTGATGATGCACAGTGCCCGAGGACAGCAGTGCTGCTGGCCTGGATCCCATTCCCATTATCCCATTCCCATACCCATTCCCCCATTACCCCATATCCCATTACCTGTAGGATTTCCCGGGTTGATGATGCACAGCGCCCGAGGACAGCAGTGCTGCTGGCCTGGATCCCATTATCCCATACCCATCATCCCATACCCATTATCCCATCATCCCATACCCATTCCCCCATTACCTGTAGGATTTCCCGGGTTGATGATGCACAGTGCCCGTGGACAGCAGTGCTGCTGGCCTGGATCCCATTCCCATCATCCCATACCCATTATCCCATCATCCCATACCCATTATCCCATCATCCCATACCCATTATCCCATCATCCCATACCCATTATCCCATCATCCCATACCCATTATCCCATACCCATTCCCATTACCCCATACCCCATTACCTGTAGGATTCCCCGGGTTGATGATGCACAGCGCCCGAGGACAGCAGTGCTGCTGGCCTGGATCCCATTCCCATTATCCCATTCCCATTATCCCATTCCCAGTACCCCATATCCCATTCCCATTATCCCATACCCCATTACCTGTAGGATTTCCCGGGTTGATGATGCACAGTGCCCGAGGACAGCAGTGCTGCTGACCTGGATCCCATTCCCATCATCCCATTCCCATTATCCCATACCCATTATCCCATTACCCCATACCCCATTACCTGTAGGGTTTCCCGGGTTGATGATGCACAGTGCCCATGGACAGCAGTGCTGCTGGCCTGGATCCCATTATCCCATACCCATTATCCCATATCCCATACCCATTCCCAGTACCCCATACCTGTAGGGTTTCCCGGGTTGATGATGCACAGTGCCCGAGGACAGCAGTGCTGCTGGCCTGGATCCCATTCCCATCATCCCATACCCATTCCCATTATCCCATACCCATCATCCCATACCCATTCCCAGTACCCCATATCTCATTCCCAGTACCCCATACCCCATTACCTGTAGGGTTCCCAGGGTTGATGATGCACAGTGCCCGAGGACAGCAGTGCTTCCTGCCCTCGGCCAGCGCCCTCCTGAGCTCGGCCACGTCCAGGGCCCAGCCTCGCTCCTCGTTGAGGTAATAATTGACCTGCACCGCGTCCAGCTCGGCGATGGCGGCCGAGTAGAGCGGGTACTGCGGGATCGGGATCATCACCCCCGTGCGAGACTGCCCCGAGCCCGTCACCAGCAGCTTCAGCAT